GTTTTTATTGAGCTATACATTTTTTTTCTGTTTCCCTCACTTCCCTCCCCCTTTCCTTCAACCCTCTCCCATGGGTCCCATGCTTCCAATTTACTCAGCAGATCTTGTCTTTTACTACTTCCCATGTAGATTAGATCACAATCTTTCTATTCCATTCTAGAAGGAATCTGATGATACAAACATGTCTTGTTTTCTGGGCCATGGTTTCCCATAGTAAGTGTGATTGGTGGGGATACAGTTCTTCAAATATAAGTCTAGCTGTGAGGCTGAGTTTTAAAACAAGAAATTCAGTTCGCAATGTCAGAACTTCTTATAGACATGGTGAATCATGGAGTTACTAGATGAACCTAGGACATAGTGTGTGTCTTGAAAGCAAGGATGATATTGAAAATGTTGTGAGGTAGAACATAGAAAGAACACCGAAACACCTTAAGATATAACCTTATTTTTATGTCAATATACACATACTCTCTCCTTTATGTATGTATTCTTGTTTTATTTTTACCTCTGTGACAAAATGTCACAAAATGTCTGACAAAAAGCATTTTAAGGAAGAAAGAATTTATTTGGCTTACAATTTTGCATTGCAGTACATTATTGGAGGGTATTAAAATTAAGGCTGGAACTTAAAGAATCACAAACTCATTCATCTGCAGAAAAAGATAAATACACAGCTCCTCCCTTGCAGTGTGTGTGTGTATGTGTGTATGATACCTGCTATTTTTTCCCATGCTTAAATATTATGTCTTTAAAAATAAGTAGTTTATTGGAAACCTTTCTGTATTATACAAATATTTTTTTTCAGGAGACATATTTTCTAACTCATTTTGATATCCTTCAGGTTTTCCAGTTATATGCATCACTTAATATTAGATTTATGGTAATTTTCTATCATCCTCATTATTTTGAATTTACTTAGTTGATTATTACTGCAGTACAAAAATGTTGTTAGTTGATATTTGTGTCATATAACTATTTTATTTATATAAATTTTCATTCTTTATAAATTTTCCATGTTTTTGATTCCCTTCTACATCATTTCATTAAGTCACCATCACTTTTAAGAAATTCCTATCTTCATGAAACCACAAATCTCCCAGATTCATGTTGCAATTTAACTGGTCTCTTGTGATATTGAAATGTTCTGATGGTTTTAAATGGCCATCAATTTTATAGGCCCCATTTAAACTTTGACTGAGTTCCAAGAAGTTATTGAATCTAATTTTAGCTGCTCACTCTAGAAAGTATAAACATGTATATTAAACCTTACATACATGTATATAGTTTATATGTATAAATTCAACTTTAATATATTATGAAAATGTGTATAGAAAGCTATATTTTCAAACCCATCCAAAATCAGAAGGTTCATCTCTAAAAATCTCAACATTACACTTATTTTTGACATTGAAAAACAGGTTTACAATTTTCCAAACTTGTTTTTTTTTTTTTTTGTTTCCTACATCTGCACATAAAATTTTTTAAAGCATGTTCCATGCTGAGTTAAATGTACTAACCATAGCAAATATTTGTTTATGGTTCATTTTGTTTTCTATTTTGCAATATATATTCTAAATCTTGTTTTCCAATATAACAAAGGGTAATAATTTTCTTCCCCAATACCCTGAAGTTAAATGTCTTATTATATGTGGTTGTAAGCCACATATGATTGCTGGGAATTAAACTCAGGACCTCTGGAAGACTGGCCATTGTGCTTAACCTCTGAGCCGTCTCTCCAGCCCCTTTACTCAAAGGAATAAAATCTGGCAGATGGATCTATTCCACTTTACAGAATTTGGAAAATTAAAATATGTATACTACAACTATGATACTTATTCAGGTTTTCAATGGGCAACTGCCTTGATCTCAGAAAAGGCTGATTCAGTAGTCATGCATTTATTAGAAGTTGTGGCCATATACTAGTACAAATAAAGACAGACAATGGTTCAGCATATGTGTCTAAGTAAATGAAATTTTTTTTTTGCTTTTTATAATAAAAGCAAATTACACTTGAGGTTTTGTTGATATGAGACACGATTATTCCTAACAGCATCCATCTATTCCCAAGAAAATGTTGAGCACTAAAGACACTCCATTTGGAGCTTGTTTTCTTCTTGGCACAACTGGCCTTTGGGAAAGGAACTGTCTATGCCTCAACCACTGACAATGTCCAGATTGGACAAACAGAATCAAAAAAACAAAACAAAAAAAAACCTGCCAAACCTTGCCAAGACAGGATAATATGGTTTTGAAATTTTTTCCTGCCTCTAAAAGTGATCTGTTAGTTACTCTAGGCCTTGACCAAAGTTGGTTGCTTCAATATTGCAAATGATACTTTGGGTGATTGCCCAGGTAGCTGGTTTTTCTGTTATCTACTACATGTTTCAGAAGCTGCTTAATTGTTAATTGCTACTTCCTGCTTAATCAAGTAATATTATCTCTCTTCTCAATCCTTTGATGGGATTGAAGTTTAGATAGTCATAGATAACTTCCACTTTTAATATAGTCAAGCCACTTCTCTCATAAGACATAGACTCCTTAGCATAAAATGATTATTGAAACATGTAACTTATGCTTCTTGTTTAATATTATTTAAGCTTATTGTAATTCTAGTTTTATACTTGATATCTGGTCTTATTTTATATAGTTTTGTATTGGATTTGGATCTCTCTTAGTTAGACAAAAGGGGGAGGTGATGGGAAACCTCCTTCAGCCAATGGCTTTAAGAACTTGAACCAGGTGGGGACGTGACTTTTGTGTTCCCAAAAAGCCACTGTTCTGCCCAGCTCACTCTCTCTCTTGTTCCTGAGAGCCATACCTTGAGGTTAAACCCCCATTTCTGTTCCATGAATTTTCTCTCTGAATAAAGAAAGGCCTTTGAATACACCATTTTGGAGCCAACTTGGGATTATTTGACTCTCGTTTCCCCCCTTTATACGAGTTCAACTTCGAAAAATGTTGTTGCTTTGTTTAAATAATACATCCATATGTTATTAGTTATATTCTGTGTTTGACATCTTTATATACAAGTTAAATTTTATGAGTTATTTATTCTGTCTAGATGTAGTAATTATTCTAAGAACCATGACCTTAAAGTGAAGAAATATTTTCTCTTTCATGTGGATATCACATAATACATTTCAACATATTTTTTTTCTTATTCACTATCTCTTTAATAAGTAGTCATTATAATTAATATTTATTTTTATATAATAATCTATTAATTTTTTTTTAAAAATCAGGGACTTTGGTTTAAGCAGTGTACCTCCCAAGTATCTGCCTGTGACTGAATAACTGGGTAGTAATAATGTTAAGATATTTAATATAAATAAGATGGCCAACTTTCATTTTAAATCAAGTTCGTAAAGTTATTTGTATTGCCAAGTTTCTCTAGTTTACCTGTGGTTTGTAAAAAGCTTATGTTGCCTAGCAGTCAAGAGAAATGTACAGCCTGTGTATGAGCACAAGTTGTTTACTATTTTATTTCAAAAGTAAACTTTTGCTGCTCTGCCAACCACCCTAAATGAAATCTATCCCACCTTACCAGAAATATGTCATGTTTTTCTGTAGCCAGAGCCAAAGGTGAGAATGAAGGAACAAAATGGAAAAGTACCCAGGCATGAAGTCTATGCATTTCCAATAGCAGCTGCTGGTGTAAGCAGTTCTTGACGTGTAATCATTTTTAGTTGATTTTTAGTGCAAGAATATTTCTTTTTAAAAATAATTATATCTACTTTTATGATTTTTAATAAGGATTTCTCAATTTCTAGTTTCATTGTCATGTATTCAAAAGAACACTAAAACATGGAAATATCTTCATGGTATAAGACATAATAAGGTAATTTAAATATTAAAAAGATACTAATTGTAGGTCATTTGATACAAATTGGACTGTTTTTAATTTAATAACTTTGGTATGTTTATAGGTTTCACCAGGAGAATGAAAACAGAGGAGATATGTGGATATGTGTAGCATATGCAACCAAGGATTCATGTTCACAAGACTGTCGAGTAGGATGACCCCACCAGAGGAAAAGCTGTAACACCACAGTCTCACTCACAGTTTCCTCTTCAAAGCAATAACAATAGATATATATGGTATTAACATTTCTTGCCTTTCAGAAAAAATAATGTTGTGGAAACACAAATTTGCACTGATTAAGTCGTCTCAAGAAAAATATAATCAACCCAAATACATATATACCTAGGTGCTAGACAGTTATAGAAAGATAGACAAAAAGGCAGACAGACAGATAGAAATGTGACAGAAATAGACTTATTAGATATAGAGAGGCACGCGTGTGAGAGAGAAGCCATAAAGACAGAGAAAAGAAATGGTATTTTAAGAAATTGGTTCAACACATGTAATTATGGATGCTGATATACTGAACATTTTCAAGATATAAGCATGGACTGAAGACAAAATAAAGAATGACATAAAAGTTGAAGTTACAAAAAGTCCAAAAGGCCTACTCTGGTATAATTCCTTTTCAGGAGGTCAGCTTCTTTTTTGTTGTTGTTATTGCAACTGTTTTGTTTTGTTTTGCCTTGTTTGCTCTATCTTGCTCATTTCAACTCACTGTGTCCTGATATCTCACTCAAAACCCACTACTGGAAATGTCCAAATCATCAAAATGAATGCCGTGAAATATGCATGATTAGAATGCATCCAAACATCTGAAGAACAGATCCTAGCCAAGGTCACATTGACAATGAACCATAGTCACAAGGAGCTGATAAGTGACACAATTGAAAACCTGGTTATGAGAGGTTTATATCAAGAGGAGATATTATGATAGGTTTTAAGGATGGGCATCAAAGTATCTCTTTCTGTATCTCTTAGAATGTAACATGGTGAATTAAGATCGTTTTAGACACTACAGGCTATTCTTTTTTTTTTTTTCAGAACCACACAGAGACTGCTCATGTTTATTAGCAGAAGGAGAACCCCACACACCCATTCACAAGAACACTAACAATCTTAGAACTGACGATACCCACCCCTCCCAACACCCTTCTTCTCTAAGCCCCACCCTAAACTTAGTTTGGGCCCGTTAGAAAATTTTGGGCTTCTAGCATTTTTTATCTGGAAACCATATGAATGTACTGTCAGGACTGTTTTTCATGTCTCCATCCACTTGTCCCTGTGGGCTGTAGACAAACATCTGCAAGACTCTCCTCAGTCACTCAGTTCTAGATCAAAATCTGGATATAACTCCTTGGTGGTGACACTGCGGGTCAGAGCCAGCTTTCCCAGAAGCATCTGTGCGACATCCTTGATGTCACTGTACTCATGGAGAAGAGCGATATGGTCCTCTAGTTCAATCACACAGTAGCCTTCTTTTACTAACTGGGAAATCTCCTTGTCCAGCATGTCCTGTTTCTCCTTCAGTTTCTGAATGTCAGCTTTCAAAGACTCCTCGCTGCTGTCATCAGGCAGTTCAGTCCTGGGAAACAGACGCGGCGATCGGAAGGGCCCATAGCAATTTCGGCCGAGTCCTGAATCAATCCTCCTGAGCCCCAAGGTCCGAGGTACCCGGATCAGGGTCGTCTGATGCATAGAAGGGTCCAGGGTTGGGGTTTAAACGGCTGCCGCAGCGCCTTCAGGTAACCAGAAATCAGCGATGGAGACCACCAAGCCACTACAGGCTATTCTTTGTAAACCATAATACACGAGTGTGTTTGCTATAACAGATGGTTCTTAATACAAGTGGCACCCAACCATCTGAGTAGAACTCTTACTTTCTGTCGGCATGAATTGCTATAGCCAATATATTTTTGTTTGATACACCATGATAATTTCTTTTTTTTTGAAGCTTGTACATTTTCAGTATATTTTTTCAGATAGTTTTGATCTATTGCATTCATTGAATGCAAGGATGTGGAATCCATAGATATATAAATTCAACTATTAATAACTTGTGAATTTTGATCAAAGTGTTTCTCCCTTTTTTTGTTTGTTTTGTGTGTGTGTGTGTGTGTGTTTTTTTTTACTTTTATATGACAAACTTTTCTCATTTTACATACCAATTCCCCAACTCCCCTCATCTTCAGTGGCTTTCTGGGACACAGACAGGACATGCACAGAGCTTGACAAGAGGTGAGTGACCAGTCCTTCCGCTGGACAACTCACTCTCTAGGCTGTAGGTCCCATTGTAAAACCCAGGCCTCTCCTCCACCAGAATTCTGCTGTACTAGCCAGCCAGAAGGCAAACCTCCTGCAGGAAGGCTGCCTCAACATCACAGCATGGACCCTGCAATCCACAAGTCACACTCAGACCCTGTGACCACAGCTCTCTGGAACACAGACTGGGACTGCACAAGAGCAGACCAAGAGGTGAACAACCAGGCTCTCAGCTGGAATACTCCCTGGAATTATTTTCTAAACAGGATAATATCTGACAAAGAAACTCAATTTATAAAGCATTATAACAATAGATTAATCGATGGTGGTTTTTGTTTTTTTTTTGTCTCCTTATCCCAAATGATATGACCTAGAAGACTGTCAGAGTGTGAAAGCCTACTTATTGCCATTCTGGAATTGCCACCATGGGACTCAGAGAGCACTCACTTATGCAAGTGCTTGCTGTATGAAGAGGAAAAGTTCTAACCTTTTTCTTATTGAATTATTTAATAACCAAAGTAATATGAAAAAATTCTGCCTCACAAATCACTGGACTTTATTTTCTATCTTTATTGCATACCGATAGATAGAGCTGATTTTCTATCAATAAATAAGATTTTATCACACCCCTTCTCTGTTCTCCAACCTCTTCAAGAGAAGCTGAGCATTCTGTTCTCAGTGACTTTCTCTCCAGAAGGCTTATGGGCAAAGTTTCCTAATGAGAAGCATTTATATGAGTCAGGGAAATTTCTGGCTTCATGGAGGTCACTGTCCCCTGAAGACAGTGTACACAGATGTGAGAGGAAGGCAGCTGTCTTCGCTGAGGCCAATGTCCTCTGGAGAAAGTTACATACAGATGTGGGAACAGATGTGAGAATCTGCGACATTTCCATATTACTTTTAATAACCAAAGCTGCAAAAGCAGAAATTATATGATACAGAACACTTTTCTTAACAAGAGAACTATTCAGTATAAAAAGTTAGTAAAAGTGATACGTTTTAAAAGAAATCTTATGCACTTGAATGCATAAATTGGAGAAATTTTAACTTCTCCAATATTAAAATATTAAACAGTTTCTGAGAATTTCACTCATGATCTATAGTTATGTAACTACTGATCATTATTCAGACTGGTTTTTAGCATATGTCTTATCTTCAACCTACTGTTAAGTTCGGTGGTTTTACCAGCTGCTGAGTGAGAAAATGCTGAAAATTCATTCACGTGCGCAGGATCTAAGATGACTGATTCCAACACTTGAAAGATGAACTCTCACCCACAGAAAGGTTTTCTTCTCAGAGACTCAGATTCTTTTTCTGTTTCAGGCCTTTATTTCTGATTAAAATTATGTGATTGCAAGATCTAAATATTCCCCTTAAGAAACATCACTGCATTTCAGCACAATTATATGTGTGTGTATCTCCTACAAATACACACAAACACACACACACACAGAGAGAGAGAGAGAGAGAGAGAGAGAGAGAGAGAGAGAGAGAGAGAGAGAGAGAGGTATGTATCCTACACTTAAAAGGCCACATTGTTTTAATCTAAAAGGGTAGTAAGCGAATTTAGGTGTGGTGTAACTATAAGTATATGCCGGAAGTAAGAGAACGACAGTATAAAGAATTGAACTAAGTAACTTTTGAATGGAAGTTTTGAAGAAATTATACGAAGCAGAAAACATCCGTCAAATCTCAAAGAATGGTTGCATAAACAAGATATGCATAATTTTAATGTCAGTTAACATACCGATGCGGTTAAGGAAATTTCACAGAGCCCCATTCCTATTTGAAGCCCTATGGATGGCTGCTGAGAAGAGGAAACTAGTTTTCCCTAGAGAAAAGCTTTCTTATATCTTATCAAATCTCAAGAGACATCCCTAAACACATATACATCTAAGCAACAATAAATGGGCTAAATAGGATGTTTGTGTGGGGGATATGTACTGTGCTGTGTGTGTGTATGTATTTGTGTGTGTGTGTGTGGTGTAAAAATAATCATTAAAGAAGAAAATATGACCTTGAAAGCAAGCTAGTGGGGCCCTTAAAGAAGTTAGAGGGGAAGTAAAAGCAAGGTGAAAGTACTGCTAACATTGGTGCTAACATTCCCAGTATATGAAAGTCTCAAACAATAAAAGAAAATTAAATTAAAAAGGAAACATTATAAAGAGTAATCGACAGTGTAGAGAAACTATTTGCCCAGCATAACAGTATTCTTGGATGCATGAACTCACAGTGGCTGTGACGACATGAACAAGAACTACATGAGATCCAATCAACTTAAGTCGCAGCATTGATGGAGCAGAATTTCTGTGTGAGATGTTACTGGTAACTGCTAGCAGCCGTTTGAACAAGAAGAAAATTACTTCATTAGAAACTCCCCATGCTTCAGTACATGGTCTTACTCCCATGCACCTGCTGCCAGCACTGAATTGGAATAGTGACTGTCCAAACAAAGAACATAAACTTTAGAGGGAACATAGAGGGAGGATGAGGTTGAATTAAAGGATATATTGGAGAGTGGGTTTGACCAAACGCTTTTTGTACATATAGGAAATTCTCAACAAAATACATAGTGACAAAGTGGATAATAATTTAAACTATGGTAATTCTTCTATTTGCAAGCTAGGGAAATAATTTATTACATACTATGATTTGCCCAAAATTAAAGTGAACAAGAATCAAAAATAATGCTGCTATCCTATATAGTATATATAAAATTATACTAGATGTACTTAGCATTTCATTGACAAATGGACAGGTTTAGAAGAAATATGATGAAAAGCATCAGGGATGCAAACGATTTTGATTTCCTACTAAAACTGTCCTGGAATTTTTCAAAATCATTAATGTTATTGATTATAACACAATCATTTTAAATAATTTTGCTAGCTGAATATTTTTGGTATATTTAAATCTGTGCATTGTGTTTCTGACATGTATTAATTTATTTTATTATTTTGTAATAAGTATATTGTATTTACATCATTTCTATTTCTTATCTCTCACCTCTAACTCCTTCTATTTCTGCCAAACTCTCTCTTAACTTAATGAATTCTTATTATTTAATTTTTATTGTTTCATATATATATATATATGTGTGAGCCAATTTATGAGTCAATATATACATGTGTTTAGCAATAGCCATTTACAATTGGAAAACCTATCAAAGGGTTCATCCCTTGTGGGAAAAAAAACACCTAACAGCCATTAATAGTCTGTAGATCTTTATCTAGGCATGGGGATTTGAAAAATTTGTTTTTTCCTCATTGGTATGTCAACCAGTGTTGCCATTGTGCAGGTCTTAGATCTTGTTTAGACAGCCATAGTGTTAAGATTTCTTGGATGTTACTTCCTGTCATATACAGAAATCACTCACTTAGAAGATTCCCTGTTTTCCTGATTTTATCTTTTGTCCCTTCTCTTCCACTCTGCTCCCTGATCTTAGGTATAGAAGTTGTGTTGTGTAAGTATCATGGGGAAAGGAAACCCTGTGGTCAGTATTGTCTGGATTTTGACAAGTTGTGGATTTCTGTGATCACGTTTGTCTACTTCGGTAAGAATTTTAGTGATGAAAAAAGGCATGCTTATCTGTGGATATGAAGTTAGGGCTTTAGAGTGTACATGCAAATTAAACTGGTTTATCAATATGGCAGCAGTAAAGTCTTCTCTAGAGACCATTTCATCCATCAGGTACAGGTAGCTACAGTAGAGTTATAGTACCAGGCACAGATATGTCCAATTTAGTGGGACTTAATAAAATCACATGACTAGTGGTTAATTCTGTGTGCACCTTTGGAAGTCTCTTGCTATGCTGTTCATTTTGTTGATGTGGATAGGCTTTCTATGGAACCACAAAATCTCTTGCATATCCAAAGAAATCTTGAACAAAAAGGAAAAAGCCGGAGGGCTTATTAGGCCAGATTTAAAGCTGTATTACAGCACCATAGTAATAAAAACTTGGATAAAATTGACATACAGATAAATAAAACAATATAGAAAACTTAAATATCATTAGAAAAATTACAACCATCTTATACTGACACATTAAAAAATTATCGTCAACAAATATTTCTGGATGTCCACATGTAGAGAAATCAAGTTGACTGCTTTATTATCTCACTTAATGTTATAAAATCTAGGATATAATTTAATAACATTAAAGAGTAATACATTCTATGAGTAGTATACCAATAGACTCCATTTATGTGATTTTCCTATTTAAGAAATTAAGGCAGAAAAAATTTATTACTTAAATAGATATTGTAGATTGAGGTTCTGTTACATATAATTATGAGCACTTATGCCTAATCCACCCTCATATTCACTGTTAACTGTTGATCCTCTTCTGAATTTATTAGGTGTATAAATAGAAAACTTTAATATTTAAATGACATGTAGACATTAACACAGTACATTTTAATTCAAATATCTGACACAAAAATAACTCCAACAATTTAGTTTAAATGTTTGACACAAGAAGCAGTAAGAGATGGAACTCATTAATGGCATTGTAC